CCCCAAAACCCCAAAACCCCATTAGTCTAAAATTATTGATAAAATAATAAACTGTGTATTGAATTTAAGAAATTTAAAATGAACTTTTTGAAGAATATAATAGAAGTAACTTAATTGTAAGCTCTTGAAAGACCAGAGGATCTTCCTTCTGATAGTTAATTTTATGGGAATTCTAAGATAGACTATAAAATTAACTCTGCTTCAAATATTTAGTCAATGGTTTCAAATGAAATTATAAGCGGAACTCCTGGCGGATCAAATTATGCCAAAATGCAAGTTTAATTTTCTGATAATAATGTTTAAGAAGTAGCTAGCCTGAATAATCGCAAGCACTCTGTTACTATAAAGACAGAAAATAATTAGCTATTTGAGTTTTAGCATGACTCTCCGATAAGATAGTAGGCTGACACTAAGTCGTGGTCAAATCTTCCATCAAATATTTAGTAGTTGCAGTAATAAAGCATTTAAAAAGATGAAAATCTGCAAAGCAATATCAAAGCAAGTAGTACTAATAGAGAATAATAGCAGCCTGATAATCCATTGATGTAATTGATTAGCTAGGTTAAATAAATCAAAGAACAAAGAAAAACAAATGATAATAGCGATGATATTAATCTTGAAAACAGCATTACTAAAAGCATACCAAGAGAAAATAATAATTCAGGGGAAAGTGAAAAATAAAAACCACGCAGCAATCAAGACATGATTAAGGCCATAGAAAGTAACCCTATCAAGGACAAGATATAATCAAGAATTAAGAGGAAAATGCTAGGATCTATTAATAGCAATGTTTCCAACATATCTAACATAGACAACGGAGGATCTGGCTCTCAAATAACATTGAATCAAGACTTATAAAAATAGACGAAGGCTCAAGGGAGGAGGTTAAAAGAAAAAATAAATGAGGATTGCATATATTGCCTAAGAAGACATATAACAGTGCTATAACTTGAATGTGGCCATAAATTCTGCGCATTTTGCTTAGAAATGCAGCATAATATCACAATGATAATGCCTGAAAATAAAGGAATTCTAAATAGATTGGTTAGATGCTATTCTTGTAAATCTCAGCATAAACTCTCAGCCGAAGAGGCTTTTCAAATAAGATCTCATATAAGAGATAAAAGGGTTACCTAGCCAATTCCCCAGCCACCTCTTGTCAGAGGTTATAAAAAATGTGAAACCTGCTATAAAGTTACTTAGCGATTGGATATGCTGAGTAATGCCGAATTTGAATGTCTTAGCTGCAACTTTTTACTCTGTGGAGACTGTTTAAACATGTAAGCATATACTAAAAGTTTTAAAATATTTTATAGACACTTTTAGAATCCTTAGAATGAAGATCATAGAGTATTGAAGCTTTTGGACAATGGTAACCTAGAAAGAACAGAAAATGATTTCTGCGAGCATCATAGAGAGTGATTAAAGTATTTTTGCTATTCAGATGAAAGAGCTCTGTGTGTAGTATGCGCGAACTATGAAGATCATAAAGGACATAATGTAAAGTAAATAAGCAAGATGATTGAGGAACAAGAAAGGATCAAAGTAGAATTATAAATAAAAATAACATAAATGATCTAAGAAGTAGAAAAGAATATAATGTTTTTCTAGACAGCAAAAGATGCAATCTAAAAGTAGAGGCAGTTATACTTAGAAAAGCTTAGATGTGATTTTGAAGTGATGTTTAAACTTCTTGAGAAAAAGTACAGTGAGTTATATCAAAAGATTGAAAGGGCTTTTCAAAATTCATTGAAAGAAAGTGATATTGTTTAATAAGGTTTTAACTCAATGTAGCAAAGACTCACATATTTGCAGGCCGTAAACCCTTAGAGAGATGTCGATATTTTGATGATCAATAAATTGAGTGATGATATTTTGAGTATGGACGTAGATATGAAATTCTTCTATGACTTTGATATTTCAGATTCAGTGTTTGTTAACAATCCAATGAACAGAATGGAGATCGTCATGACTGACTATGATTTTAGGGATGTTTCTAGTAGGTAACTTAAAAATCTCAGATATTGCTTTGTAGATTCAAAGATACTTGACGGGCCCATGCATATTACGAATGAACTATATATAATGTTCCCAAGAATTAAGAGCAGTGAATTAATTTATAGAATGGGCCGAGATGGGATTTCTCCAGAGATTTTCCACAAAAGGTGTGACAATAAAGGAGCAACAATGATGATTATAAAAACATAGTAAGGGCATATATTTGGCGGTTATAATCCCAGTTCTTGGGTATCTTAGTATTGCTATTCTGATTGTGATGACGCCTTTTTATTTTCGATATTTACACCTGGTGCCAAGCGGCCTCCATTTAAATGTCCAGTTAAAAAAGACAAATAGGAATTTGCTATTAAAAATGCTGAAGCTGGTTTTAGTCCTGGCTTTGGAGAAGCGAATAACTGCGATTTATTTATTGCTTTTAAAAACCCTAGCAAAAGTTATTCTAAACTAGGCACTGTCTATTAACCACCTTTTTAATACAGTCATTTACCTTTATTTGAGATTCATAGCTTGCTAGCTGGAACTCCTACGAATTGGGAAATATCAGAAATAGAAATTTACTCTGTAAAAATATAGGATAATTTGGAAATTTGAGATTATTATTAATATTTTTATGCTTGATTTTTTATATCATGGGGTTTTGGGGTTTTGGGG